CAAATTTCACATTTCGCTGCTCTCCAAGGCCAGTGCGTCGACCATGGCGTCGCATGCCAAGTACGTCAATTTTCTGCATTTTGCATTTTTGGATTTTGGATGTTTGATACTTTGATACTTTGATATTGAAAATGCTATGAAAATGGAACTGCACGGTCAACTATGACGTGGTGATTGCGACGCCGCTGCGCCTCGTGCATCTCATTACCGAGAGTGCGTTGGCCCTCGACAAGTACGACACATTGGATTGGATTTGAAAGGATTGAAATTCGGATTAGGGTCGACATGATCTGCTTGGACGAAGCCGACCGGCTTTTTGAGATGGGTTTCGTCGAGCAAATCGACGAGGTGTTTGCGGCGTGCACCAACCCGTCGCTCCAGCGCATGATGTTTTCCGCCACCATGCTCGAGGTGTATATATCATTTTTGCACCCAATATTTGTACAGTATTCTGATTTCATTTTGTGCAAAATTAGGGTGTCGAAGAAATGGCCCAGAGCGTGCTCAAGGACCCGATCAAGGTCGCGATCGGTGTCAAGAACGCGGGTGCCAACACGATCAACCAGCGCCTTTTGTTTGTCGGCAAGGAAGAAGGCAAGCTCGTGGCCATGAAGCAGCTCATCCAGGAGGTATGCTTGACACTCAAAAGCGACATTTTGATTTGTGGATTTCTGACATTTATGATTAGGGCTTGAAGCTCCCGGTGCTCATGTTTGTTCAAAACAAAGATCGTGCCAAGGAACTCTTCCACGAGCTGGTCTACGACGGTATCAACGTTGGCGCGATCCACGCCGACCGCACCAAAGAACAGGTTTGGCTAGTTGTAGTAAAAAGGCTCTCGAGACGCATGCTTTTGTGTCTAGCGCGACAAGGTCATCAAAGACTTTCGAACGGGCTCGGTGTGGGTCCTCATCTGCACGGATCTCATGAGCCGCGGTATCGACTTCAAGGGCGTCAACATGGTCATCAACTACGATTTCCCCCAGGTACCACCGTCTTTTTATATGTTCTAGTCGCACATGTCTCATAACAATAATGTGCTAGAGTGCCGTGAGCTACATCCATCGCATTGGTCGTACGGGCCGTAACGGCCGCAAGGGCGAAGCCGTCACGTTCTTCACGGAAAGTGACATGGTACGATTTTGATATTGAGATTCGAATGTGGAGTTTCGAGATTCACTTGTGTAGATGTATTTGCGCACGATTGCCAACGTCATGAAGCTTTCTGGCTGCGACGTGCCCGACTGGATGCTCGCAATGAAGAAGGCGAGCGTCCGCCAGCGCAAGCAGCTGCTCAAGGCGCCGCCGCAGCGTCACCGCATCGAAACGGTCTCTGGCTACGATCTGAAAAAGGCGCACAAGCACAAGTACAACATTGTCTATCGCTTGCAGGACTGGTTTCAACAACATGACTAGGCTCATGAAGCAGCACACGGCCAAGAAGAAGACCAGCAGCGCGGACAACGACGCGGACGACGCATAGACCGTCATGGTTCCTTGACTCTTAAGCTTCTATACACGATGCCACGCTGCATGTATCAACTTTGTTTCAAGTCGCATCGTCCGAGTGTGTTTACGGAGTCAAAGTGGCGGACGCCCCGCTGCAGACAGCTCTATCTCATGACATCTCCACGAAGCAGCGTCGCGCATTCGCTTCCTCTACAGCGTCATCGCGTCATCGCCTCGATACATGGTGTCTTGGCCGTTTGCCCCAACACCACGCCATTTACCGATGGTCGGATCGGCGCATTCTGCCACGTGGCGCCAATCACATGGCGCGAAAGATTCATTTTCATCCAATGGCATCGCGTTTGGCAGTTTCATTCGTCTGGCGGGGAAAGATCAAAATTGTATCATACATCGTTCAACCTGACGTCCGACAGTCGGAGCTGCAGCGTCGACGCAAGCGGGACAATCTCTTGACGCACAAGACGTCGGTTGTCTACCACCTCGGTCGTGACGCCAGCACGTGGCTTCCAAGAGCACTTTCTAGGACACTATTGCCTCACTAGCGACCTAGCTGCAGCGGCTTGGTCCGCACCGTCTGGATCGAGTGCAGTGCGATGGTCTCGAGGCATGGCGACTGCATGGCCCAATCGAGATGAATGTGTCATCGTCGAATACACAATCGATGAGTTCCAATACCCGGAGATGGCGCACCTGATGGCCTTTGAGACCTGTTGGAGTCAACAAGAGCTCAGACAGAGCTCGCGAAGGGCACCAATACGTAGAAAAATGCAGAATGAACACTCCGGTCGTATCGCTATCCGTACAGAGGTAGAAGAATTCGTAGAGTGCTGACGGATTGATCATGTTGGACTGAAGTGCCTCGACTTTGACGTCCGCCATCGTCTTTCGACGCAGCTCCGTGATGTGGGGCAGCGGCATGGCGGCATCGATCAATCCTTGGATAACTTTGTCGCGCACTTGAGCCCAAAGCTCGTAAGCGACAAGGTGGCGGCGATGGATCGTGCGAACCGCGTGTCGTCGACCGATCGAGAGTCGACAAGCTCCAAACGCTGTGCACGGCCCGAGGCGAGCCATGTTGCAAGGACTGCGAGCCAGCTTTCACAAAAGATAAAGCTTCCCTCCGCGCCAAAGCGCTCCATCTGTGTGACGAATGGCGCGACGCAAGTGACCGCTGTGAGAAAAGCCGGCTCCGAGAGGTGCACCTCCATAGAGAGGCGGCCGAGGCCCGTACAGAGACGGATCATGCGAGCGAGCGCGTCACCATCGAGGCTGTTTTTCAGTTGCAACCACGATGCGACGTCAATCGACTTGATTTGTGGCCCCACTGGGCTGCAAACGCTAGTGTCGCATCGGCACCATGCTCGTCGGGGCTCGCGGCCCGCAGAACGTAAATGAGCTTGGCGAGATCTTGGATCCGACTCGAGCGAAAGGCGGCCAGCGCAGTGAGCACGGTCGATGTGTACCGGCTATCAAAGTCTTCAATGCAGACCTGTGGCCAGAGCTCGTCGTTTAACGCCAAGGAAGTCGACACAAGGAGCGTGTGCAGAGCCGACAACGTTGTGTACATCGAGCGCATCTCGTGGAAGCGCCTCAAAGAGCGCGAGAAAGATCCCTTAGGGCAAGTACTGGGCAATATGGATCAAGATACCGGCGTGGGCCCACGCACACACGCTTTGCCATGTCGAGGCTGCGTGCCAAAGACAAATAAATTTGTATTCTGCATGGTGATTGGGTACTTTCATCGAAGCGATGCATTTTGATTGGTTCTACGTGGCAGTCGTATCTTCTCGTGCCACCGCCAACCTATGATAGGTCGCCCATGTTTGTCGTGCAAGTGTGTCCATGGGTGTAAAGTATATACCAGTATATTCCATGCATCAATTTTCATTCCTCAATTCGTTCAACCACCTCGAGCGACGTGCCGCTAGTGAAGCTTTTGAACCGTCAGCGTCCGGTCGCTGCCATCCGACAGTTGCAGCTGCAGCGTCGACGCAAGGCGCGCGATCTCGTCGCGCATCCCAATTCGGAGTTCGACCACCTCGATCGCGACACCAACGCACGTGAGAAGTGCCTCAAAGAGTACCTTGTAAGACGCAACGGTCATGGTCTCATCGCGCAGATGCAGTACAAACAGTGCGGACCGACGCGTGTCACAGAGCGCCATGGCGATGGCAAGTACATTTTTTCTTCGACCGTGCAGCACTGAAGTGAGACGCGATGGACGCTGGACGCGATCCATCGACGCAGGTAGCGCCCACACTGCAACGGTTCGGTTCGCACCGTCTCGGTCGCGATGAGCGTGACGGTCTTGAGGCACGGTGACTGCGACGCCCACTCAAGAAGCGCCAGGCACGTGGCATCGTCCATGCCACAAGCCTCGAATTGAAGTACTGCGAGATGGCGCGGCGCCGGCGTCGAGTCCAATTGGTCAACCCATTCCATCGCGCAGCCCATAAGCGAGAGCTCGCGCAGGGCCACAAGACGCGGCAGCAGCTCAAGAAGACACGTGGATTTGGTATACCTACGGCGGCCAGGTCGAGCACCTGCAGCGTCGAAAGGTTGACGCATTTCGTCAGGAACCCCTCAATGCCAGAGATTGTGTGGAGGCACAGTTTGGTCATATTGAGCAGTGGTGCGGCAACATTGGATAACGCTTGGAGAACGCTGTCGGCCTGCCAGAGCGTGAGGCTTGTGAGCGATGCGGCGGTGGCAATGCACCGCGCCAACTGAAGGTCGTCGGCCGATTCAAAATAAGAGAGTCCGAGGTTCTCTGCGCGGCCAGACGCGAGCCACGTTGTGATCGTCGAGAGCCAGCGCTCACGCAAGAATATGTTTTTGTCTATCTCGAGGAGCTCCATGCGCGTGACATACTGCGCGGCAGCAGTGACTGCTTCGAGCTCGGACGCATCGGACGGCTCACAAATATGTACTTCGTCGAGGCCGGTGCAGGGACGAAGAATACGGGCGAGCGCACCGTTGTTGTTGTCCTCTTGGAAGTCCGACACGTCGATGGACTTGATCTTGTGCCCCCACTTGGCTGCGAGCGCAATTGTCGCGCTCCCATCGGCGCCATATTCCTGGCTCGCGGCTCGCAGCACCTCGTCGAGCTTGGACAAATCGTTGATGCGAATCGAGCGAAAGGCCGGCAGCGCCGTAAGCACGGTCGAAGTGTACCGGCTATCAAAGACTTCAATGCACACCTGCGGCCACTGGTCGGCTTTCAAGGTAGTCGGCAAGAGCGTCCGGAGTGCAGCCAACGGCGCATCGAGCGCATGACGTGGCAGCGCCTGCAGCAGCGAGAAGACGTCATCGATCGAGGACAAGCACTGGACGATGTGAAGAAGGACGCCTGCATCGACGACCGAGATCGGCGCCACGCAAGCTCGCTTGGACATGAACGAGCAAGCGTTTCTGCGTTGTGATTGGATTAAAGTTGAAACGAACTTGAACAGCAGTCCTCTTCGCCACAGCCACAAGGAAATGAAGGGAAATCGGTCGACCCCGCCACGGTTTGACTGCGAGAATTAGTGAAAAGTAGTCAAGAACCCGTGTACCGGTAGCCCCTCTTGTTGCACCGTTCTATCTACATACTTGTCAAGTGTAGTTGGCAAAAGTTACGATTTCTATGGGGCTCTTTTCGATGGACTGCCGGGCTACGTCGTTCGCTGTCGCGTTCTATCATGGCAGGCCCCTGCCATGATCCCGGTAGAACGCCCAGGACATGGATTCGGAGGCCGCATTTAATCGGACCTAAAGTCCCTTTAAAATGCGTTTCATGCGTTCGAACTTAATAACAGAAATGCAAAAAAGACGCGCTGAAATTCGTTTGCAGCTTCGTGGCGAGAAACCAACAACCAACATTCCTGAAGCGCCATTGCTGGGCACGAGGATATGACTGGCGTGGTTGCACGACGGGAGGTACCTATGTGTGGTGTTCCTTTCTACAACGTGGCCTTATCGTCGAGCTAAGTCCTGCACTTTCAAACCGCGGCAGCGCTCGGGTAGGGAGACCAAATGGATGCGCCACAAGTTTTATAGTACGCTTTCGCGGGCATGAGCAAGGCTCATGTCGCTAGCCCGACTGAGATGCGACCTCCGGCCCCCAGATGAGTGCGATGCGCCGCCAGTCGGATGAGCTTCCGACTGAAGAAAGGATGGCGTTTGCGAAACAGTTCGTAAAGAACATCGTTGTCATGATCATCCATGCCGACCTGGAGCTGCAGCACCAAGCCAGACCCGCGTTTTGATTCACAGGATCTGCATTCCGTCGACGTTTTTGGACACGATAAATGAATTTAAGAGCACCCTGCGTTCAATAGTTGGAGAATACGAGCGAGCTTTGGCCACAAACGCCCCCGCGCGACTACAGAAGAGCAAGATGCACCCCGCGCCGCCGCCTGCGCAGCCACGGCCCGGTGAGCGAATGAAGAAGAAGGAGATTGCTAGTGTCTACGTATGCGAACTCTTTGAAAAGCAACGAAGATAACGCG